AAAAAAAAACTCAGTTTTTGCGCGAAATCGTTTTTAAGCCAAACATACTCGTATTTCTATTCGTAGTGTTGCTTTGAATATTTGTGGCTCCAACTAGGGTGCTGTTACCGCTTGTACCATTCACGCTTCCTCCCATTGCCACGTTCAGATTGTGTTCGGCTCCATCCATTTGTCCGTTTCCTTTGACCTGGAAAATATTAATGTTTTTGCAATATAAAATGAAAATCATTTTACTGAAAAGAAAAATTAATGTTCAACACAACTTTTTGATGAGAATAAAAATACAGCATGCTACAGTATGATAGATTCACTGTATTGCCAGATGTGCGGTGTCAAATATGAAAATCCATGTATTACACCTCTTTTTTGAAGAATTCTGGCGCTTTATTAGATATTGAAAGGTTATTTCACTCTTTGACTTTATAAATTTCTTACCATTCTCTATACTCTTATACCTCAATGATTATTCGCTCACAAAATTTAACTCTTCAAAATCTGTTCCGCTCATCATGATTTCCAATTTTTAGAAAATGAAATTTGCAGAAAAGGTCATGAAACCCCTTTTCTCAACACAGAAAATCAACAAACTTTTCCAACAGACTACTAGTGTCTGTTTATTGGAGACATTCAGATATATAGTATGACGAAGTATCTTCCATTTTTTTTTGTAACTCTTGTAAAGAACAAAGATTAGAAGGTATGATTTGAGGGCAAATTTCTATCCTGACATCTGAGTTACAGTAATCCATAGCTTACCTCGGCATTAACAATACCACCACCAGCGTTTACTCCCGACATAAGCCCGTTGATTTCGATACCTAAAAAGTGATTTTTTTGTGTCTAGTCAATATAAACGTTTCGGTAACTTTTTCTAACCATTATTTGCGTTTCCAGCACCTAGGTCGAGATTCGCTTGTGCATGACCTATACCAGCAGCTTCTGCCGATCCAAGCACTTGCACTAAAATGTTCTCCCAAGTCAGTTCCTGGAAAAAGATGTGGCAATTTCTTATTTTTTGATAATATTCCGAGTTATCACAGATTGTCTGTCTTAGGCAGCGTTTAGACTATCTGCCTGCGTGCCGTGGCTGTACCAGCGTCGTGCCAGCGCTGTGGCGGAACACGCGTGTCAGTAGTGATCGATCCACATCTGGCACAACGCTAGATGAAGTCTTGGCTGCACACAATCCCATCAATTTATGATGTGGTGGGTATGGCACTCTTGTTGAGTTATATCGGAGTGACAAAGTTACGGTAGGAATACTGCTAACACTTACCTGTCTTGTAAGAATACTTGCCATTGACTGAATTGAGCCTGTGGCTCCAGCTGTTGCGACTGTCTTGTCACTGCCTAAAAGAGTGAAAAAGAGGTTGGGAAATAAACTCTGCAAAATGTATCAAAATGTGTATTTACCACATATTTTTTCAAATCGCATTTGATCATTTCAAGCATCTCAAGTTCATACTGAAGCACTTC